ATCCAAAACTTCTTAGAGATGTCATGCATGGTAAATCTTTTTATACTCAAAACAGTTTTGCATCGTTAGACTCCATGTGCATGAAAAAAAGATGTTTTTATGAATAGAACAAACAAAAATGTTTTTGAGAAAATAAACAAAGACGTGCAACAGTGGAGATGAGTGCAAACAAGGCAAATAAAAAAAGATAGTACCTTTGATTGCCACTTCACGGAAATTGGTCTTGGTATTGGAGTAAAGCCTCTTCCACTCATCAAGTATCATCTTACTAGGAGGAAGCAAATCAAGAGGATTCTTAGGTTTGGGCTTTGGAGCCTCCTCCTCTTCCTCGACTGGCTTTGCTGGCTCTTTCTTGGCTTCCTTTTTTGCTTCTTTCTTAGGTTCCTCTTTAGGCTTTGGTTTAACAGATTCTTTTGGTTGAGAAGGTTTTCTTGCAACAGGTGGAACAGATTCTACCTGCTTGACCTCACCGAGTATCTTCTTAAAATTTGGTTGATTAACCAAGGTCCAGAAGTATCTTTCGACATGAGAGAACTCTGATGTAAAGCTCTTAGTCATGATTGCCTTGAACCCAATACACAAGTTGCATGCCATGATGATGTCTGCAAGAGTTACAGAATGGCCAACCAGGAAAGTGTTTGACGCAAGATGAGTGTTCAAGGCACCCAATGCTCTCTTCAAGTCAGAAATTACAGCTTCCTCAGCCTTCATCAAAAAAGTATACAATAAAACCGAATCAGTGGATAGTTACCGATAAATTGGAGGTGATGCGCAGTTACATAAACCATGTAGGCATTAGTTTTACAAGAATATGAGAGTGATGATAAGAAAAATAAAAGAGCCCATTTTACATTTAAAACAAATAGGGAAAAAATGAGGCAAAAGTCACAGTTTACTTATCTACAAATCAATATAAGACGTACAAGTGTATTTTCCCGACAGAACAGAATAACTTGAATCAGCCATATCAAATTAACACACTCTGTTCCATGAATCAGCAGAAAAAAAAACATATGTTTGATAGCCTTTAGGGGGGAAATGATACAATTAACATTCAGGAGGCACCATAAAAGATCATAATGTGATCTTATCTTCATTTAATGGGAAAAAAAACAACACATCAAGTTTATCTCCCATTAAATATTGGTTCCAGCTTATATGCCAAAAAAGTGAAAGAAAATCTCTGATTTCTATCAATAAAAGAGTCCATGATGCAGAACAAGAGAATATATCTTTAAAAAACAAGTCCACAAGTGATGCAAGCAAGACCAAACTGAATTGTCAAAAATGAAAAAGACAGCTCACCGGAGGGAGGTATACAGCCCACCCCATTCTTGGCCTGTACCAGTTCAAAATATTAGCATAGACCTCCAATGATGCAAAGTCTATCCACTGTTCAATATGACCCTGTAAAATAAAAAGTAGATAAAATGTGAGCATAAACATGATATGACAGGCTATTTTTTAACAAAACTAGTTCCAGTAAACATTGAGATATTTTAAATGGGAAGAAAAAGAACAACTAATTTTACATAATCAATGGCGGTAGAACCATATAAAGGATTGTCAGCCTTCAAGCGGTCACTGCAATGGCAAATAAAAGATCCATCAGCACAATGTATATACATACATGTATAAACACACACATGTAGAGGGGGGGAGAGGGAGAGAGAGAGAGAGAGTTTAAGTTATAATCTGACCATATCTAGCAATAGCATTGCTCTCAAATATAGCACCATCAGGTGTTTCCAGCACAGGAACCTAGGCAGATAATTCATACTTATTAGAAAATCAACTCAAACTAAAATGCTGAAAGTATTCTCACACCAAATATTAATTTGACATCAACTTCATCTTACAGATGTTTACCTTTCCAATCGGATTCATCTTAAGAAATTCAGGGGTTTTGTTTGTGACACCCATCTCAAAATTTTCAACAAACTCAACCTTGACCCCAGAGTATTCTGCAGCAATGAGTGCCTTGAAAGCATTTGTGTTTGTCTTCCATGCATGCAAGACCTGTACAGTAAATCAAACAAGCATGAACTATGAAAATCAGTGTTGCTCATATTATGCACAAATCTGTCTTTTGAAAAATTTGACCACAAGATGTAGCGGTATTTACTAAATTCTCATAAATCAAGGAACTCCTAAGCATCTCCCCCGTCCTTCAAGGACAACAACTACAGAAACCAATATTTGCCACCAGACACCCTAAAACTATTAGTTTCTAAGGAGGAATGAAACTGAGAAGAGGAACATCAGTGAACCAAACCCATACAAAGGGAAAAAGATGATTGGCTAAAATACTAGCGTAAAAAGATCAAGGTCCAGAACTCAATTTAATTCAATTTCCATCTTCTGGATTGCATCAGAAAGACTAAAAACTTTAACCGATCATGCAAGAAGATGATTACCCTTGAAAAATAAATGAAAGCCAAAAGAATATATTGAACCAAAAACCAATGAGCATATCAAATCCTGAGCAAATATACTAGACAGTGATTGGGATTTGGGAAACAAAAAAAAAATCCAGCGTTTTCACAGTTCCACATCAAACGAATATAGCAGTTACCATCGTTACAATTTGCACAAATGAACTCCCACCATTAGACAGAAGAGCACTCAAGTGTAAGTCCAAAAATAACACATAAACATACACAATGTCAGGGAGGAGAGACTCACCAGAGCCATGGTCTTAGAGGAAAAACGTTCTGTAGCAATATCAGATCTGGAATTATAAAGAACACAGTTAAAAATGGAAAAAAGACTGTAAATTGATAAGAAATACACCAAAGAGACAAAGGATTCTACAATTTATTCTGCATACATTTCCAGGGTTATATACACTTGTGGATAATGTATGAATCAATGCGTATAAACGAAAATGTAAATATTGAAACCCGTACCTCTCTGAAAGCGCAAGCGTTCTTCCGTCAGCGAGAATACAGAGAGATGAACAGAGGGAGTGGCGGAGTGCTAACAGGAAAAAAGATTTCTAGGGTTTTTGTAGAGATCAAATCGGCCTCCTCTAAATGGAGCGGGTCTAAACCCGAAAACCAAACCGTTGAAATGTTTTCCTTTTAAGGAAATGGCCAAAAATACTACTAATTATTATTTAGGAGCAAATAGCGAAAATTCATATTTTTTTTTACAAATTTTATTTTCAATTAAGTTTATGATATATGCTAGATGATGTGTTTATATTTGTAGCTTTTTTTTAATTTTAAATTTTATTTTGAAAATAATATTTCAAGTTATTATATGTACTTCTTCT